GGGTCCCAAGGCGGCGGGAATCGCCCCGGGGGGCGAGGCCGGGGTGGCCATGGCCGGGGCCGCGGCCGCCGCCGCCGCCGTGATGGCGGCCAAGGCTAAGGGGAAGGGGGGAAAGAAGGGCGACGGCGGGGGGGAGAAAAACCCGGAGCTTGCGAATAACAAGAAGGGAGGAGGGGGCAGGGGCGGCGGCGGGTTGCTGCCCCCGGGCCTGGCCGGCCCGGGGGGCCCCGTCGGGGGCATGGGCGGGGGGGTGGGGATCGGCGGGTCGTTCAACAGCCGCACGGGGAGGGCCGGCCTGGGCCCCTCGGGCGTAGGAATGCCTTTCGGGAATATGGGCAGCCACATGAACCCGCCGAGCTTCAGCGGCAGCAGCTTCAGCGGGAGCTCTCACTCTCACTCGTCCATGGGGGGGCTCGGCGGAGGAGGAGGAGGAGGAGGGTCCCAGATGGGAGACCCTCGGCTGCACATGGCGGCCCAGCAGATGGGAATGAGCAGCAACGGCCGCAGCGGCGGCGGCCCGGGGGGCCCGCCGATGGGACCGATGCCCCCTCACTTCGACCCCCCCCAAATGAGCGGGCCCCCGGTGAACCCGTCCACGGGGCTCCCGGTCGGGATGAGGCAGAACGGCCCTCCCATCGTGCTGCCGGCAGGGATGGTTCCGCGAGGCGGCGGGCCGGTCGTGAACCCGCCGATTCCCCCACCGTCCATGCCGGTCCCGTCCATGCCGGGCCCGTGGGGATCAACACCGCAGCAGCAACAGCAGCAGCAGCAGCCCGGCTGGGGGGGCGGCGGCGGCGGCGGGCTGGGTACGTCCCGGTCGTTCACCTCCAGGTTCGGCATGAAGCAGGGCGCAGCCGGGCGGCAGCAGGGCTTCCGCCGGTCCAGCAGCTTCGGTGACTGGCTGGGCCCGAGCGGGGTAGGGCAGCCGCTGTCTCCAACGATGGAGGTGGACAGCTTCGAGACGCAGTCCACCAGGAGCGCGCCGCCGTTCGGGGCGACGGCGACTGTGGGCGACGCGACGGCGGCAGCGGAAGGTGTGTTTGTCTGTGTGACTTGACAGGGACGCGCAGGCTTGTGGCCCCCTTTTTTTTTTCTCTCGTGCGCGTTATTGTTTTTATTGTTATTTTGTTTGCCGTACAGCAGTATGGAGGTTGCCGTAGGTACATTGGCGTTGGCTGTAGCGAAGGAACAAGGAACACCAAAGGCGCGTGCGTGATCGGTAGGTTTCGAAACGTGTTGTACCGCACAGCACGCGTTCACGTACGCCACTCAACGCCTTGCCCCCGTTTCTTGCGTCCCCCAATCCGTGAACAAAACAAACCCGCCGCCGATCATCTCTCCTAACAGCTGCGACTGCTGCAGCGGCGAAAGTGGCGGCAGGCGGCCACGTCACCGGCACCGAGGAGACTAAGTCGTCCACAAAGGACAAGAAGGGCGATGAGGGAGCAGACAAGGCCACCGGCGCCAAGGCCGCCGCCGCCGCCGCCGTTGCCGCCGCCGCCGCCGCGACGGCCGCCGCCGGGGCCGCCGCCGCCGGAAGTAAATTCGCGGAGCCCCCCGCCGCCGTTCCACCGGCCCCGGCCCCCGGCGTCGTCACCATCCAGACGATCCATACCAAGAAGGACGCTCCCCGCCCCCCCGCCCCCGCCCCCGCCCCCGCCGCGGAGAGCAAGAAATCGGCGCCGGCCGCTAGCGCCTCCGCCGCCGCTGCGGCGGCGGCTATCCCGCTGTCGGACTTGTTCAAGAGGGGGGACGACGGCGGGCTGTCGCGTTACGACACGAGCGGCGAGACGCCGGCGCGGGCCAGGAGCAAGCCGGCGTCCACCTGGAAGCGGATGATGAGCTTCGGCGGCGCCGGCAGCAGCTACCGGTACGACGCCGGGGACGCCGGGGTCAGCGGCGAGGGCAAGTCTTCCGCCGAGGAGGTGTCCGAGAGCGACAGGTGTGTGCGCGCGTGTTCCGTGGGTCCGTGTGTGTGTGTTTTGTCATTTAGCATCGGCCGCGCTAAGGAGCCGACAGACCAATGAACAGACGTACATAAGTGCAAGCGTGTGTGAGTGGGTATTTAAGTTTTTGCATCGTCCGCGCGCTAAAACCTGCTGACCAATGAAAAGAAAAAGAGATGTCACGTGCGGCTGAATAAACGGGTGCCCGATGAACAGAAGACAGTCTCAAGTGCGGCTGAAGCAGAAAGCGCTTGCTTCTTCTATACATAGGCCATGCTCAAGACTAATTTTAACGAAAAAGTTCTTGTTGTGCTCAGGAATCGTGGTATCCCCTCCGCATCGATATTTCGATCGATCCATCCCTCTCTCTCCAGTAGTACCCATTGCCTTGTTCCTGCTCACGTCTGAACTCTTCTCTCTCTCTCTCTCTCTCTCTCTCTCTCTCTCTCTCTCTCTCTCTCGCGGACAGGTTTGGTTACCCTTTGATAGTTGGGGCATCACCTTCACTATTTCGTTCTTGAAAGTAATATTCGGTGACCTATTTCG